CCCGAGAAAGGTGCTTTAGGGTTCTGATCATGGCAGATTCTGTTTTGACGGAGCTTAACTAGGGCTCTCGTAAGATCCCGAAGTTGCAGCAGAAAGCATTTAGGAACATCAGTCGATGAAATGAAAGTTTACCAAATCATAACCAAAAACGCTTTAACACAAAGAAATTTCAAAACATTTACAAAACAATAAGAGTTTCAGTTGTGGTTCTATATATCCCGACTATATATATATATATGGTGTATGGGGGGAATCTGAATGTTCCACTTCAACATGTTACATTGTCTATTGTAGGGGTGTAATCCTTGTTGAATATCTTCTACTGCCTTATATACATATAGACAGATTTCCATAGTCTCACATAATCTAGAGAGGTAAGCTTTTGGCGTCGTCTTGAGCAGCGACAATGATGTGGATGTTGACAAGGAATCCAGGTTGTGTTCTTCTAGATCACTTGAAAGATGTTACACAAGCTCCATTTACGACAAAAATATGATCGACTGGATTTCATGCCCTTGGCAGCATTTTTGGCAAGTCAGATGAATGAGAATGCTATAGTTAGTGTTGCTAGGCATAATGCTAGAGATAGAGCTTGCTACACAAAGTATTTCGACGACGCAGCATAAATTTATACGGTTTCTTCAAATGGTTTTTCTAACCTCTCGGACCTCTTAATCCACTTCACCTGATGCTTCTCTTTGCTTTTGGTGTGATTCCTTTTGAAAATTTACATTCAGGTTAAGTTTTTTTATTCCATGAGATTTTTTTATTATTTTTTATTGGAGTTTGGTTCTTCGAAACTAAACATATCCCTTGCTGATTTTGAATCATATAACAGAGAGTCCTGTTTTCTTTCTTGGCGTTTAACTTGTGCAGGACTTGTCCTTTGTTGTATGTCAATGATAGGATTAAGTATAATCTTTGAAGTTGTTTCTTGTTCAATTCTAAAACAGTTTGTTATATGCCTATATTTGCGGTTTTAACCAAGATAAAGTCAATGCTCTGCTACCAAAGAAGGGTGTATAATGGAATATTAAGCTTTTGGAGTGTCCC